TGATCCCTTTTCCATAAGTATTTTTGCTCTGAACAAGTCAAACTTTTCTTTTATGAAATTTAAAGATCTGAAAGGATTTTTTATTTCGATCTGCATTATCTCTAGGATAATGCTGGCCGGTCCTTTCCTATCACCAAACTCTTTGATTAGAAACTGCTTCAACTCATCCCAGTTTGCAAATTGTATGTTCCTAAGGGCTTCGTTCGCTCTGTCTGTTAATTTGTTTTTTATGTGTATAAAGGACATAGATTTCTGTATGTTTGTTAAAGGTGGTGTTAGAGAAGATACAATGTTTTGTGCTTCCTCCACTTTTAATATAAATTGTGTTAGTGTTTTTGGATTACCATCGAAGTTAGGGATGGCATCTAAAATGAATTTCAATTCGGCAAAATTGGCCATTTCAACAATTTATAATTATACAATTATATTAAAGTTATAATTTTTAAGTTTAATTAGGTTATTATACAATACCCAAAATGCTTACAATTAAAAACAATAAATTTGTTATAAAATACAATAATTTCCTACTCACAAACTAAATTTCATCATGCTCATCAGGTCCGATGCAGCAAATTCACCGTTGACACGATTGGTTTTCAATATTCCCTTGAAAAACCTTTGCGATGTCCTACCGACTGCGCCAGTTACGTGTGTTGACTAAACGAGAGTCTTTTTAAAAAGAACTTTATTAGTTAAACACAAGTTATAATTTGAGAAGAACCTTTCCTGTTCACGGATATGATTAATCTGAATCTGTCTTTACAAGTGTAAAAGGAATAGTGAACAGGGAAGGGTTTATTGCTTACAAACATTCTTCGAATCTGTACAGACGCAACATCATATGTCGCTGAACTAAGGGTTTTGTGCAGGCGTAACTTATATATATGTAAATGAGATCAAAAGAAAATGTCAAAATTTTTTTTATGATTAGTTTATGATTTTATTAAATAATATGGTTAAATATTAAAATAAAATATTACAACATTACTCTTGTTTATGTATCAGGGTGTTAGACCTTTAGGGTATTTTTTATGAAAGTTTTTTTTTTTAACAATAACAATAATAATTATAATTTTTTTACTGTTATTATTATTTTAATAAAAGGAAAAATTACAAATAAGAGACACTGTAAGGGATACAGAATTTATTCGATCTAATTATTTTTTTTTTTAAATTATATTTACTTTCTTTTAAATTGTTATCTTCAAACTTAAATTTTTACAAAAAAATAAAATCATTCCTTCTTGAAACAATATAAAAAAACTTAAAATATAATTAAGAAATATTTAAACTATTGTTAAAAATAAATGAATTAATATTTATGTATGCGCAATCCCCAAGGAATAAAATTAAGGAAATATGGAATAGGAAAAAACTCACACGATGAATGCTGTTTTCTGATAAGATGATTCTTCACAAGCAGAGTTGAAGCAGCCAAGTTCAAGGTGGTTTGTTCGCAGTCTCCCAATGGAATGAATCCTGTCCTTCGCCTTTCAGCCTTTCTGCACTCTTGTCTCCCACGAGTTCCAAAGTCCACCGCCTCCTTCACGTTCATTTCAATTTGTTTTTTACAAGGGCATACATGGAAGTGGAGCAATGAAGAGGCTGGCAAATTGGCCAAGAAAAGTTTGATCAGGGAGCTATCTACCCTGAACCCTTTTACAACATACCAAATTACTAAAAATCTAGATCCATGAACAATGGGTTAGGAATAAGTCCCAGAGGTATTAAAACAGTTCATAAAAGAACCATCGCAATGTGCTAGGACTAAAATGGTAGTTTGTCTACTGACTGAACAATTTAATTTCCATACGCATATTATTAGGTTTCGAGCAGTGGATACTAATTCAGATATTGCTAATACGAAGAAGAAACGGTGGAGCATGTCCTATGTGGTGGAAGGCCTATGTAGGCTGAGATTCCTACTCTTCGGTGAGGAAAATAAAGCCTGAAGATACACAGGGAGTCCTTAATAAAATTTTGAGATCTAAAGGGTTGGCTAAAAAACTTAATGACTTAAATTTAAATTTAAAGAAAAGCTTTAGACAATAATGCAGATTGCAAAATAGACCAATATTAGTGCAAGGTAGGCATAGGTCAACTTTTTTTTACCTTAACATTACTAGTGTATTTTTTTTTTTTTAATACCCAATATTTTAAAATATATTATGGGTTTTAATGACATTTTATAGAATTTACTACTCCAAAATAATAAATAATATAGAAAATGAGCAAATACAGTTAAAGAATATTCCAGCATGCTAAAATATCTAAAGAAAAAAGTAACATTTCACTTTTGCGAAGGCTTTTTTTTTTTAAAGATGTTATTGATTTCCAATAAATAAAAACAAGTATTTATAACAATTATTTTAACAAACTGCTTAAATATTACAAAATTACTAATATTTTTCATTATTTTCTTGTAAATATCCAATATTTTAAATTATTTAGAAAAATATATAATATGCCATTTATGAAACTATAGAATAACATTTTTTCTCTTTTATTAATCTAAAATAAAGGAAAGTTGTACTGACTGAAATCATTGAAACAACATTAGTGGTTGTAGTTTTTTTATTAAATAATATCATAGATGAAATGTTGACAAATTAACAATAAAAAATAAATAAAAGACACTGATTAAAAAAGAGATTGAAAACAGTTTGTAGTTATTTATTAAAGTTAGATAAGTTATTCACATTGAGTTAATATTTTTTGCCAGAAGATGTTCAACTGTAAATAGTTTAGAATGGACAGAGGTGACAAGCCCTCGAAGGAGGAAAAGCTCTTTGGTCAGTATTCTCTCTATTTTCCTCATCTCATTCATCATTCTATCTGCAACACAATCGAGCGTTCAATGTGAGACAAAAGTATTCAGTTCAAAATCACAAACCTGTACGGCACAGGGTGTCGAAAGCTGCGGAAACGGTTGCGGTCGCCGTGGCGACAAGCGATTCGGTCACGACATGGCACTTGGTCTCGACAAGCTCTTCATGCATTGCAGTTATATTGTACACCGGAAACTCTTCAGTGAAATTGTTTTTTCCAAATGTTTCGACAATCGCACAAAACAAAATAAATACAAATAATCGCATGTTATTTTATTTTCCGATTCGTTTTAAATTTAAAGATGAGTTTGGCACTTTTTTCTTTTTTTAATTGAGCTGATGTTAGCTAAGCTGTTTTTGAAATAGGCAACAACAGATCAGCTACTACCACAACACTAAATAAAAATAAACTAGAACGCGTGTCCAGTTTAAAAATGTGAAACCTATATTATAAATAGAAACTGATAGAAAACCTGGGCAAATTAAGAAATAGTTGATATAAAAATACAAATAAAATGTCCTGATTTAAGAATATGTATGAATATTTTTAGTAGGCAGAATAATTTAAAATCACACATTTACCTTTATACACTATTTAAATTAAGTAAATTTTAATAATATTGACTGTGTTATGGTTTAAATAGTATTTACATTTTTTTACTTTATATTTTTCCTTTTTATATTTTCTTATTAAACCTTATTTATATTTTTCAAAATTACATTGACAAATTGTTACTTTTTTATGAAAATTAGGCCGTTCTCTGTGCATGGGCTTTTTCCAAATTCTTTGATACGTCTCTGTCGTTCATCATACATTCTTTCTTGTCTTTTTTATTATTTCATTGTTCTTAATTTGCCTGCAGGGGGACATATCTGAAATTTCGTCATTTCTGAACATTTTAGTTCACCTGTTTGATCACAGAATGAATTTTCTGCAAGGATATTAATTATGAATGTATGAATTATTGTAAATAAACAAGGTTATGGTATTAACGATAGATGACATAGTTTTTTAAATTATATTTTAAATAGTAACTTCTTTCAAAATTCACTCCGTTGGAGAGATACCACGAACTGAAGAGTCTCAGTAAAACTGTGGTTGTCTTGGTACATGGACACATTGGTGTAGATAGTAATGAAAAGGCAGACAAGGGACGTCCCAACCTTCAGATTTAACCACCGTGACTCGGCCCTCTGATGCTAAAAATGCAATAACAAACATCATTAAAAGAAAGTGGCAGTATTGGTGGACCGGATCGGCAGGGAGGCTCTCACATATCAAGAGCGCTTTGAATAGGTGGTTTGGAGGATTTGATTTGTAGAAGAGGGGTCATACTCACCCATTTAAGTATGCTTACTTTTGGGCCAAATCCTAAGTGTATGTCTGACATGTAGAAAAAGGGGTTGCTCGATGTGTCTTACCAAGTTGAAGGATGCAATTTCTACCCCATATAGAGAGCATGTAGGAATGCCATCCAACAAGAAAATCATGCTTGAGCATGGCAGCGAGTATCTGTGTCCCCTGTACCAATTTTTGGAGGAAACAAGGTTGTTTTCTATAGTACTGATAGTTTGTGTTCCTAGTGTGTGTTGAAAGTGAATGTATTTAATGGTGTGAATAGTGTAAGAGGGCTGATTGTGGAATATTGAATATCCCATTGACCCTCAAATAGGGTAGTTATATAATGGGTGTAAAGGGTGATGGAATACTAAGTACTTCACCACCCTAACTGAGTGAATGCATAAGAAAGAATGCATTTAAGAGTGAGTGAGAGAGTGAATTGGTTTGGTTTTAGGAACTGACTGAATTTTAGGAACTGCAATGAGACTGAAATAACCTAGCTGTTGTAGCCCCTGGAGCCCAAACTCAGTGGCTGGATAGATAAGATTGACGTCTGGCTCTAGACTACGAACTCCCAGGAGTGATTCTCAAAGCCTGCAGTAATTTATTGTAAATCACGAAAGCTCGAATTGTAGGTGGATTGTGAGATGTGATATATGTATATACATATGTTTGCAGATTGGAGCTGATATAAATCAGTAATTTTTTATTGTAAATAATAATTGTTTAATTTTCATTATATAATACTTTATATAGTTTACATACTTTATACCATCATTATTGGAACCATAAGGGAAACAACATAGGTCACTCGAAAATTCTACAATTATTGTGTAAGGTCAACAGCCAACTATTAACATTAGCGATAAAAAGGTTAAAACCCCTTCAGGGAAAAAGTACTTCCAGGTAGTTACTCCTTGTGAATATAAATACAGTGCGGATGATGACCATCGTAGCGTAGACTGTTTTACCGATGGCTCACTCATTAAAGGCAAGGGAAGCGGTGCTGGAATACATATACCTAAATTAGGGATCAGCATTTCCTCCCCTCTTGGTAATAACACCTCCATTTTTCAGGCGAAAATATGGGCCATTAATGTTTGCTGCAGAGCACTTATGGATAACAAGATCAAGGGAAAAGACAGAATTTTTTTCCGACAGTCAGGCCAGTCTTAAGTCATTACAAAAAGATTTATCAACATCTTGGCTGGTGGAGGAAACTGTTGAACTTATTAATAGGATTACTACCAGGCACGAGAATAGGGTAACCATCATATGGATACCAGCTCATAAGGAACACTATGGCAATGACGAGGTGGATAGCCTGGCCAAAGAAGGCTCAAATACTGCATTTGTCGAGCAACAACCGGTATTACCTCACTCTATAAGCACAGCGAAAGAGATTATTAATTGCTGGGGCATGAAACAATTCCTTAAAGAATGGAATCTGTCCCTCGGACATAGGCAATCGAAGGAGTTCGTGAAGGAAATCAAACCAAAAGAATCGAATGGCTATTCTCTAACTCAAGAAAGGGAATTAGGAGGCTGATAGGTATTCTGATGGGCCACTGCCCACTGAGAAGACACCTCTTCATAATGGGTATTTTACCAGACCAAGGCACTATCTCAAAGAATGTGATAGGTATGCCAGGCATAGATTTGAAACTTTTGAAGGAGAAGACATTGCCAAATCGCTCCTCAAGTCTAAAATGGTCCAAAATCTTGGGGTTTGTGACAGGTCCAAGAGGTTTATGCAGGACACGTGAGCCGACCAAGTTCTGGACCTTTTAGGGATGGGGTACGAGTCTACCCAGGCATTTAACCCCTCGGGTCTTGGTCGCCCACCCTGCATAATATATATTTTATACCATCATTAAGAAGTTTTTACAAACGTGAATTTAATATTCATAAGATGTACTGAAATGTAGTAATTAATAATTATAGATGTACAATGTTTTGTTATAAATAGTAATTACTTATATTTTTATTAAATTGTATTATACAAAACCAGCATATTATAATACCCACCCACGTTATACGTCTAATGGATATAAAAAGATCAATTGCCATTGCAATAAAAAATGAACAGATAATCCACTGGAAAGAAGAAACACATAAAATTGTTTAAAATTAAAAAAGACATTGTTTCCTGGCATGCAGAGGAGGAATTACCAAGTTGTGCATAGGGCACACTAGGATCACACTTTAGAACAAATAATAAAGAATTTTAGAGAATTAAGTGTGCAAAGAAAGGACTTTGACATTCCAACGACCTATGACGACTTTGAAACACAACAGCGTGCACTAATTGCTGATCCGATACCTCAGGGCCATAAATATTTACAACAGTACATACATTTTTGTATCTATATGTTATTTATTGGAATGAATGTATTTATTAGCAAAAATAAAGTGGCCTTTTATCTCAACTAAAAACCTTAATCAATTGTAACATATTAATTGGTCAAGCAGACCACGAAAGTAGTGAATTTATTGAATTAAAATGAAGTATACTTCATTAAAGCTCTCCATGGCCATTTCATTTGTTGCCGAGAATCCAATCCGATTACACGACATTTGAAAAATAGAAAATAGCAAACAGGAGGGAAAACTCAAAAGGTGGGGTTGAGATGGGAAGTTGGTGTCCGAGTGGATCGAGGTCACGATAGCTCAAGTGGTAGAACAGCGGCGTATCTAGCCGAAGATCGTGGGTTCGAATCCCGCTCGTGCCATTGACTTTTTTATCTCAACTAAAAACCTTAATTATTGTAATATATTAATTGGTCAAGCAAACCACGAAATTAGTGAATTTAATAATTTATTAGTGTGAATGGAGGGACTCCTTCCCAAATTACATAAAGGAATCAGTATTAATGAAATCTGGAATGTGATTTCATTTATTAGCGTGAATGAAGGGACTTCTTCCTCAATCACCCCAAAGAATATTGTATACACTGGGGCAGTATGAATGCTAAACAGACTAACTTGTTTTTCAATGTATATATTTGTATTTTATGCGTAAACTTTGTGTGGTTATTTTATGTTTATTTTTCTCCTGACAAGGACCTAAGAAAAAGAAAAGCCGGCATGAAAGAGAAACAAGAGATGGTTACCTTAACACCCATATATGAATTGATGTGAATACAACGACTTTAATATCAGAAATATTAAAGATTAATTAGAAAGAATAAAATGCGAGAAGGAAAAAAAAAATAATGGCAAAGAAGAAAATGGCTGGTGATGACCAATGAAATTTGCCAACCTTAAAACTAGATAATATAAATATATACGTAATATAAAAATGTCCAGTTAATGTTTTCGAGGTAATTAACTAGAGAAGTTCATCATTGTAGACGCATCTTGTAAGTACATTTCCATATTTCACAAAGGCAGACAGTTGAGTGGAATCTGTAATATATAGTTATTTTAAGATGTTGACAACTTTTAAACAATTAGATGTGTGAGAAATTAAATTAAAGTACCTATAGAACACAGCAAGTGGCATCGATAGTTGAGTGATAATAGTCCATGCACATACTTCATAGAATCTAATAAAATAATGTTATTATTAGAAAACATTATGTTAGAATTTTGTGACTTACTTTCTTTCAGTTGGATGGAAATCGGCTCTGGAATTCTCCAAATGGTTGATTGCCCACATTGCAATGTTCGATAGGAGCAGGAATGTCACTAACTGTCTGCCTGGCTTTTCTTTAACAGACTGTTTCAAAAGTGAAAAAATTAATAGTTAAATATGATAATTGTTTCTACAAAAGCCATAAGTTCAATAAAATCAATGTAAATTACTGAGGCAGTCGCACACCGTCTCCACCAAGCATCAATAATAAAAAGCGTCTGTAAGGTTGATTGAGCGATACCAAAAATGGAGGTGATAAACAGATTCGGCGTTGAAAATATCTCTTTGGTGAAATATCCAACAATTAGAGAAAAAGAAAAGTAAACATAAAGACCTGTTTGTGCTGTCACTAGTAACATTGTGTCCAATTCTTGTAACCTTTTTCTTTCATACCTAAGAGAAAGACATTATTACGCTGGCATTAATATAATTTGAGTACACTTACTTTAACTGCCTTATCCTGTACATTGCAAGTATGGAAGCCAAAATTCCCAAAGCATAGAGAACTAGTTCACAAAGATTGACCTAGATATAAATATTAAAATTAAGATTTAACCAAGAAAAGAAAATTAATGTGAATCTTTGCTATGATTCCACACCTGAAATACAGCAGTGCTGAAAAACTCTTCATGTTGAATGAGAGTATAGAACATTATAAGACTGATGATTGTAAAAACAAGAATAATAATGCCTCCAAAAAGTCCCTTGTGTGCATTTGCAAAGTCGACTGTGAAGTGCTGAGTGGTCATCCCTACAACAGGCTTCGATATCTATAAAAAGAGTAATTTTATTATCAAATTTTGAAATAGAAAAATTAGATTTGTTTCTGACCTTGTTGGCATAGGCGCCAGTTTGAGGAACCCGTTCTCGATTATGGCAGATGCTTTTCCAAAGGGCATACAGAATTACCGAGCAAATCAGAGAATATTCAATCGTGCAGGGAAATAGAAACGGAGCAGCGTTTGTCACTAGCGAACCCATTATGTAGGATTTTGTGCAAATACTTGAAATTATTTATTATATTATAAGACAAACAATTCAAAATAATATTTTCTACTATGTTATTATTTGGAAAATTAAAGAAGTTTTAATGCTAAATAAAGTCAATAATGACAGATTGTCAGCAAATTTATGAAATATTGTGGTGAAGTTGAAATTGTTGCTGGATCACCCGAGATCACAAGGTCAGTCTATTCTCACTCATTTTGTGTGTTAGATGCATTATACTGTGAAATCTTCAGTGGTTGGTATGCCCTTTATCTTTCCCAGTTTTTATGCAACACTACTACAAAAAATAATTCAAATAAATTTTTTTTTAAAGGAAATCTTGCTTAAGCAACAGTAAATGTAGATAACAGGCCAATAAAGAGAACAAGGAGATTATTTTCAAAGAGAATACATAGTGGAAAAGACAGCTCATCAACATAAACCAAACATTTGAATGATAAACTTTTTTTTAAATAAATTATTTATTTACAGCTTAAATCTGTATCAAAATACAAATTAAAAATTTGTGCATGTATGACTAGCCCTCCGTTGAACGAAGCTAAACACCTTTTTGCCTGCCATTCTTTTACCTGGCGGCCCTCCTAGTAATTTCCTATTTAGTGGTGGTGCATAGGAATCCCTAATTCATTCTGTCATCAACCTTCATTCTGCTAGCCTAGACCCATCCTGGATTGTCGAGCCGACTGCGTCATAAATTAAAAGATAAGTCGTTTCACGATATTTTTGTTGTAATCGTTCATTTTACTTTTCAATTCAGTTTTCCTGACTTTTATTCTAGATTTCCTGCTGAAATGGACAAAAAAATGTATGATTTTTCCAACCCTAATGATGTTGCCGAAATTAGAAAACTCCTCGAGGATGATGCTTCTGATGATCCAGAGCTGGTTGAGGAAAATACCGGAGAGCAGCAAAAGCCAGAAGTGATTACGTTTTACAATACCACCAAAGGTGGAGTTGACACTGCTGATCAAATGTGTACGTTCAGTGTGAGCCGGAACACAAGACGCTGGCCAATGGTCATCTTCTTTGCCTGTCTGAACGTAGCCGGCATAAATTCTCAAGTAATTTCGATTGCTAATAAACTGGAACCTCTAAAAAGGAGAATCTTCCTCAAAACTTTGTCACATCAACTTACGATTGGACAACTAGCACGACGAAGTCTAAATACAAGTGGAATGCCGACTCACCTACAATCCCGCTTGAAAAGGTTTTTACCACAAGAAAAACCTGAAAATACGCCCACCTTACCCCCAAAAAGACGCAAATGTGGCATGTGCATGGCTGAAACAGGATTTAGAAGGATGACAAATTACGAATGTAAAAATTGTCTGCCTTAGCCACGTAAATCCACTGTGCCAAGCCTGTTATTCAGCTGCAGATTTCGAAGATTCAGCATAGGTTTCTGCCCGCTACAGCGGCAATGAATGGTTGCGCCACATCAGACTGTATACTACATTTTTTCCAGTATTTTTTAATATTATGATACTTGGTTTGATTAATTTTTGAAAACTTGTACAAAATTCGCAATTTTGGTTGTTTTAGTTTAAGCTTTATTAGATTCAATAAACTCGTTTGTTTCCATCCGATTTGGTGTATTTGATTTCTGTAAATCCAAGCAAAGGCTGCCTTAATGGTGTTTTGGATTAAATTGATTAGAGGGGAAGGGGGAGGGTAAAACAGGTAGGTGGCCTCTCAGGCCGGGTGCGCCTGGTTTTGTTTCATTCAGAGGTGCGTCTGACGGAGGGCTAGTCATAACATTGACATATTACACTCCTGACCAGGAGGACACAGGTTAAAAAGAACCAGCCAATGCTGGTACTAAATGTGAGACTAGGGCGAGGAGGTTTACAATTTACAGTTTACAACATTTTTCATACCATTTTTATTTAAAAAACCAGGGGCTTTGCTGTGATTCGAACCCAGAACCGCTAACATGGCAAATATGAATCAGATGGCCTGACCTTTCAGCAATGTAGTCCCTGGACGTCAAGACTATTTTTTCAACAAGACATTTTTCCTCATTCTGCTTTTCCCTTGACTTTTTGCACAGGTCTTTGTGATACCCAAGGTGTTCTTGGATATTTAAGATTGCTTGTGTTGAATCTGGGTTAGAAGACTTAAAAAGAAAACTTATAACTAAACTAATGAAATATGACATCACAAAACCTGACAAAAATAATTCAACTAGAATAATGACAAAAACAAGCTACACAAAAAACCCGAATTTGATAGAAATAAATTAGTTGAAAGAAAAGAAGAATGACTAAAATTTATTTAATAGGTAAAACCAGTTAGAATAGCCTGACCAAGATGATCAGAGATGATCATACTTCAAATTTTTCATTATTATGAAGATTTCTTACTTGTTAAATGAAGAGTTATCTGAATCATCTATATAACTTTCCAGAATGTCTAAAATAAATAAAAAAATCATTAATAAATTTTATATTTTAAAACATAGTTTATTGTTTTGGTACTTGTTGAATTTTTTTCATAATGAGTTACAATTTCTCGTTTTGTCTCTTGCACAACCACACTTGACCATACGGACAGATTTGTTGCAATCATGTGCATTAGGCCAAACTTGGAAATGTTTTTGTAGCTGCTGAGCGCCTTGTGCTTGTTGCTCATGAATATAAACTGAAGTTGGATTATTATAAAAGTCATTTTGATCGAAGGCGTCAAGACCATCAGCACACTTCTGCAATCGGGGTGATCCTCCAGTTCAAAATACCTTCCGAACTCCAAGCCACAGTGAATCATACTTCCAATGCCGAATGCTGGAAATTGAAATGGTTCAAAATTGTTCGGCGTTTGCGGTTGCCATCTTACCAATGGCACCCATCCTCAAATAGAAACTGCCATAGCGCCCAGCCGGTGAATTCTGAGTCTGCGAAGCCACTGGAATTGTGTCATCTTTGGAATTATGCAAAACTGTATCCACAGCTCTTTGCTTTAACAGTGTCGCATAAACAAAAACAAGATAAAGTAGACTCACAGAATAAAGGTACAAGTAAAACACCTGGAAAAATGTATCAAGAATTTACAAAAGAAATATGATTTTTATTTTTGGTTCAAAAATTGCCTCATAATTAGACTGCGGTATTTGATCTGAAAGTACTTCTGCAACGGGAAAGCAGATTCCAAGAACGACAAGCAGCTTGCAATACAGGCCAGATACAGCAATTGACATTGTCTCCCTAAAATAATGCCAAATAGAGTACAATAATTTTCTTTGTTATTTTTAAGTCTAACAGGAATATTTTAGTAGTTTGACTGTTGAGATCAGGAAGAGCTTTTTGTATAAACGGCATTGAGGCTGACCTCCCTCTACGAGCATTTTTACACATCATAGACAAGGAGTTGTTTGATCTGGAATAATTATGCTTGAAATAGCTGAATCTTTAAAATAGGGAAAGTTCATTATCCGTACGGAAATCTTGATCCCTTTATGCGAGTTATGGCAGGCGACTCAATTGTTTCAATTTCTCCTACAAGTGAGACCTAAAAATCGAGAATAAATTTACTTTTAAATTTCAATGTTAAAAATTGAAAATTAACCTGGTTGTCTGACTTTTGTTCCTTTTCATTTATGGTTGCTAGTTCGGAATTTCCAAATGAGACAATAGATCCTCTAGAAAAAATACGTTAGGAAGTTTGGAAATGATGCAAACAATTTTGTTTTATTGCTTACCTGCTTGATGGAGGCTGGGAATCGTCATTTTTCCACATTTCACCATGAGACATTGGGCAAAACTGACATCTGCGTTTTCACCGAGGTTCTAATTAGCTTTGTGTTGTTTGTTTTGTTTAACAGAATTAGTGAGTTTCAAGTTCAATATAAATTGTCCTGATTTGGATCCATTATGAAATTAATTGAAATGCTCTCTAATTTTATTTATCTTAAACAATTTTTATAAAATCTGGAAAAAAATCTTTTCTGACATCATCAGTTTTTTTTTTGTAAGTATGTCAGGTTCGAATGCAGGGCCACTGGATTCGAACCCGGGACCTTTACCTTACAGTGATGAGCGTTACTAAACCGTTGCGGCCACCGACATCATCAGTTTAAACCTAGTAAATTGAGACATGCAAGCAGATGAATCTGTGATTTAATTTCTGATCATCACAGACATTCTCACTGGTTATTAAAATTACTAATGGTCTAACTAAAAAAAATTATAATAGAGATTTAACTTCTTACAGGCTTTGGTTTGGTGTTTTTTTATAATTTTGAAACCTTTAATTTTTTTTGTATTGACAAAATTGTCTTGAGAAATAATTTTTATTGCTGGTGTTTACTTTATTTTACCACATTTTGAGGCTGGTAATTTCAGGTTGATATTCTAATGTAGTGAATAAAAGCTAGATTCAGAAAGCTAATAATTGTTGAAGAAAAGCTCTTGGCTCAATCTTACAAGAATTTTTAGTGTTTATTATCATATAATAGCTTAGGAATTTCCCGTTCTTCACTAGTATTGAAGTGTTGATAGATTACAATCTGGTGTAAATTACGATTAGTGGATTCTTGAAAACCTCTTGAATTCAAAGAGTTACGGATTACCATCAATAGTGTTGGGCATGGATATAAATCGGTCCTCTGGGCCGGATCCATTCTCGATGCACATATGGAATCTATATGATCATAGCAGCCTACCTGTCAGATAGTCTAAAATGTCGATTATGCTTGTTGATGAAAGTTGAACTGCACCCCGGGGCAAAACTGGATATCCAACTTTTCAGGATTACAATTTTAAGGTGTTGACCTTTAGTACAAATTTTTATGCATGGTCCTGTTTTTATTGTGCTTACATTTAATCAAATTCAATGCAATTGTCATAGTAATTAGGTTTTTTAGTGTTTTTAATTATATATTAACTTTCTGGTACATATCCCATTTATGAATAAGTACAAACAGTTATCTTTTTTTATGCTTTAAACTTTTTTTTAAATTTATTTATTTTTCTTTACAAGGGCATTTCAACTATGACGTTATATGAACCCTTGGAGTGCCGGTGTTTAAAAAAAAAAAAGCTTATTTGTATGCTGGGTTTGAATGCAGGGCTGCTGGATTCGAACCCAGGACCTTTACCTTTTGTGCTGAGCGCCATGTCAACACCTAAACCATTGCAGCCAAAGGTACCCCAGACTTATCTTTAAACACAAATTTAGAACACTTGACTATTAGCATACCACCACTTATGCTATTTTTTATTTTATTTTTTAATAGAGTGTACCAACAATGGAGTCATATCTGCTCTCTATACACTTTGAGTGCTGATGGGGTACTTGATTTTCAAGAACAAAATTCACATGATTGTCGTTTTTTGATGGTTAATTGTCTTTAGCATGACAGTCAAATCATAAATAGATTTAAAAGAAAAAATCACACTTGTAATATTAGACAACCAAACTGTGGAACTTCCGATAAGGAAGGAGGTGAACAATAATAAATCCAAATTGACGGTAAAAAAGTGTAATTTCTTAAAATACAATACATATTTTGAATATAATTTCTATGTATATATATATACATAATTCTATTTCTCATTTTTTCTACTGTAATTAACTAAATATCACAATATAACAATCTATTTTTTACATACAGTTTGTTCTTTTTCTTTTTTCTTGTGCATTATTGCATTGCCAACATTAAAAAAAGATGCATTGAAGTATATAAAATCTGTCAAAAATGGCGAAAGAGAATCAAGAAAAATATAATAAAATCAAAATGAATATGCTCTTATTTACGTTTAAAATAATTATAACTGATAATGGCGAACAAGGAAAGGCTTAGTCGGTTTGTAGGTGTTCTTCCATATTTCAAAAAAGCAGATTGTCGAATGGAATCTGTAGAAAATCACCAATGGCATGACGAGTTTGCCAATAGTTGTCCAAATGGCAGGGACGAGCAGTTGGAAAATTTGATCATCTGTGCTAATCCTGTTCCTCACAAAGGTGTTGACCAACCATAAGGCCATGTTGGTCATAAGCAGGAACGTGATTAGCTGTCTGGCTGGCCTCTGGACACTCTTGGACCGTAGTCGCCAAGCGTGAACAACAAACAGCGTCTGGCTCGATGACTGGACAAGGCGTGCGATTTCGTTCCAGATCCAAGCATCGCTCATTAAAAGCTTGACCACCCTGAACATCCCGTACAGGCTGACACCGATCTGTCCTACGAGGAGGAGCCATGTGTCCAGACACATGGCAGGGCGCTTGTGAACGATCATAGCACTCCTGAGACGCAGAGCAGCAAAAAACACCGCCAGGAACGACACTACAAATAAAATCTAAACAACAGCTTTAAAAGAAAAGACTGAAATTTTATTGTACACTTTTTTATTTACCATTTCGCAAGTGTTGATTACACCCACTGCAGCACTTTTATATTCATTGTGTTCAGAAAACACATAATGAATGATCAGGCAGATTATCGTTATGACCAAAAATACCACACCGCAGAACAAACCTTTGTGGGCATTTGAACAATCAACTGTGAATAGTTGAGCTTGCTTCATTTCCACTTTCACTTTAAGCAGAAAAACAAAACAGCTTGTTAAGAATATAACAAATCTTACTAGTTACAGAATGTCAGATTTTGAGTACATTACTGTTGTGGCATCGTTCCTATAAAAGGTCTGTGAAAAAGTCCATTTAATTAATTTGAATTATATTGTTGTTATAAATAGAATGTATTGTTTATGCTCTAGCAGTATGTTTAACTCTGCTTTTACTTTTTATTTTGTTTAGTATCTAATGTTTAAATTGTTTAAGTGAACCAATGATCCAGTTTAAAGATGATCTAGGGCTTTTATTAGGGGGTCACAATAAAAACCTATTTGCAAGCCTTTCACATTTCGTGAAAAATCTCAGTATTTTAGTAAGGTATGAGGATTTTATTGAAGTAGAAAGGAGGCTAAGTAATTCAGGTTTAAATTTACTTTTAGACTTATTATTTCCATTTCTTGTATTGAATTTCTAACATGGAAATATATTTTTTGAAGGTTCCTGCGAGATATGTCAGGATTAAGATGAGGAGGACAGGATCACTCTATATCACCTACGACATTTTAAAGGAACAGTAAGAATGTTGTCCCACCACATGACAAAAACTTAACATATTTTCTTGGTGGACAACGGCTTTAATTAGGAAAATAAACGAGAGTGCCTCACAAGTCTGTAAATGTCTGTCGGATAGGTGTGATTGCATGGTAGGTGGTAAGTGGAAGGTAGTGTCACACCACACCCAAGGTCTAGCCAGATAGATCCGGGTCTACACCATCTATCAAGGCTTCATAAACAGTTGTTTCATTCAAGGCTCTAGAGGCGAGGTCATACAGCTTGCAAGAACAAGGAACCATGCCGTCCGAGGTTTCACCATCCAAGGTTTGTAACCCGAGGCCGCTTCTGGCTGAGCCAGGGTATAAGATCCTGTATTGGAAACAGTCAGAGCATGAGAGTGAGTCAGTTGAGATGAAGATCATGCATCAGTGACAGTCAAAGTTGGGATGGAGAGTTGGAATCAGTCGGATAACATGACATAGTCTGTAGTAGTTTTAAAGGAAAAGTAAGACCGTCATCCCATCACGTGGCAAAGGCTTAAGATATTTTCTTGGAGGACAATGGCATTAACTGGGAAAATAGATGAGAGTGCCTCACAAGCCTGGAAATGTCTGTCGGATAGGTGTGAAGGTGGCAGTTAGTAAAAGTCTCCATCTCAACTCTGCCTCTGACTGTCACTGTTTCAGGGTCTTCACCTCAACTGACTGACTCTCACTGTTTGACTGTGTCTTTGGTGTGAAATGTTCGGAGGTTGTCTCCTCTGAAGAGTTCATCTTCAGAAGAGGGATTCCAGGTTTTCACAGCCTTCAAGACCCATGACCCAGCCTGACAACGTGACAACACATGAAAATCGACTAAGCAAGGGGTGCAACTCCTTAAACTAGAGCAATTATTCAATTAAGACCTTTCCAAGTATAAAATTGCTCAACTTTTTAAGGAAGATATCCCGGGCCAAAGTAGAAGATTTGTGCCACAGTAGGATTCTCTTGAGCATAAATGACAAATGAAAAGCCTGCACTACACCCAAGAACAAGTTTTAATTTAAGAGAGGTCATGATGACATCCAACCCCTTGTCACTGGTGTATCGCGTAGTATCGTGTCCGAAGACCAAACTGATAAACTAGTATTGGATGAAGGCATTTAAAGAAATTCTCCAGGATATTGCCAGATAATAACGACGATATCGATAGATAAGGGCAGGAAAGTAAGTCGTTCAGCGGAGATGAAGATGAAAGTAAGAGTAGAGATCATTTGGAAAGATATTCCAGGACAGTTTTTAGAAATATTTTTCTAAAATTCTATTGCACTGCGTTACTTAATACCAACAATCCAAAATTTTTGCTTTTTACTCTTATTATTACAGCTTTTCCAGAATATCTGTCTTTCTTGATCTAAAAGTGAAAAAAAACTCGCATTTTTATTTCAAACCTTTATTTCTTGAGGATTATTTTTCAAAATTATAAAAACACGTGCTTGATCCCACCATGTGTGTTAATGATCAGCATTCAAAAAATCGGTAGTCAAGGCGACCAAGACGTGCTCAAAATTCAACTATGAGTGATGGACATTGTTTTTCATTTTTATAAATAATCAGGCGTAAGGGCTTTTGTTTTAGAGATGACTAAATTTTCTGTTCATTTTTGTTAAACTGTTTAGCTGGTTTTTCGTAGAAAACCCCGTTTTTCGTGTTTGTCTGAGTCTTTGGTGGTTTTCACACATCCCTGGTAATCCGAGTTTAACCATTCCCTCTCCTCACTGTATTCTCATAAATAATATCGTTGTTGTTATAAAAGATCAAGAAACCAAAAATGAACAGTACAGAATCGACGACGTGCGGCTACAGAACGAACCGGGCCGCCCAGGTTCGCATGGAGGAGATCCGGAGGAAGCTTTCCGAGCAGCCGAAACAGTCCACCGCCAAACCGAAACATTCACATGTCCAACACTCTTCAGAACCACTAAACAGATACTTACACATGAAGAAACCCACTCGGGAAAAGAAGCTCGAAGGTAAGAATAAAAAAAGCTTCGATCAATGCTTAAGATTTATCAAACAAACGTCTCAATTCAGTAACTGCTCAATTTAATTTTTTATCAGCTGTTATTTTTTTTAAATAACTCGTCAATCTGATTCAGAGTTGGTCTTTGAGCAGATTCAGTTGCTGGATTGATAATGAATCCTCCCCTCAAATTGAGGGTGATATCCTTTCGTTGCTTCGTCCTGTACAACAGGATCTACAATTTTAGTATATTATGTTCAATTTGAACAAATGGATTTCATTATCTTTTAATTCATTATGTAAATAGTACTATTTGATGCTTCAAATTCGAATGTTAAAGGATGTTATTTTTATTTGAGGGTTCTTCGAGGATTCACACACAGCAGATAAGATTATGCTTTCCTTATTTCATGATCGTAGATTATTATATCCAAACCAACAAAATGCGAACATGACATAGGCTCTAGTACGACAGAAAATTTTCATATTTCCCGAACCGTTTCAAACAAATTTCTAAAACAATGAGCCGTTTGTGAATCCTCGTGGAAAAAATGCCCCTCGGATCGTGGGATGGGGATGTTTTAACTCATTCTTGTTGTTGACCTCTAGAAACGTCTGTGCCCTCCAAGGAAAATTCCAAAACGACCAAGTCGAGCCTGAAACAAAAGCTCCGCGCCAACACACTAGCGTACATTAAGAACAGGAGGAATAATGCCTCGACACGAGATCATGAAATCAGGAAAAAAACGGTAAAAATAATAACTCTTAGAACAAACTCAACAAAACAATTAGGAATTTTTATAACGATCCTTGCTTTATTGAAGTTTGGCCGTTTATGTGTTTATATCTGTTTCCGTCCGTCAGACGCGTTTCGACATCTAGCCATCTTCAGTTTTGTGTCTGTGCGTTATTTAATCACACGTGACCTTTTTATTCACATAGTGCAGAGTTAAAAGCAAGACAATACTGTTAAAAAAACGCAGACCCATGTTAATAATGCGAGAAATACTTCTCCTTACGTTCATCATGCTTGTACATGTTTCGGTCAAAATATTATGTATAACTGTGAAGCGTTTTCAAAATTAGGTTGGAAATGTTGGAAAATCAGAATGTCTGCTTTCAAAAATATGTACAATGCAAAGTAGTCTGTAATAAATCAATAATATGGATTATAACAAAACTGTACATTGGTAAGCACGTGCGTGTTTTGGTCAGTTGACAGGCTTTTTCTAAAATGTGTTATATCTTGGATGTAAATCAAAATGGATATATCTTGGGAAAGAAGGTTGTTTGCTATTTGAAATACGTATAAGGCAAAGTAGTCAACAATAAAACTATAATTTGGGCTATAATATAACTGAAAAAAAAGAAAAAAAGGTAAGCTTGTATATTTTTGCGTCAGATGACAGGATTTTTTAAAATTTGGTTGAAAAGTTTAGATATATCTAGGGAAAGAAGGTTGTTTCCTTTTTAAAATACGTACAAGGCAAAGTAGTCAACAATAAAACTATAATTTGGGCTATAATAAAACTGAAAAATGGTAAAGTTGTATAGTTTTGGCTCAGATGACAGGATTTTTCTAAATTTGGTTAAAATGCAGTAGATTTATCTTAGGAAAGAAGGTTGTTTGCTTTTCAAAATATGCACAAAGCAAAGTAGTCAACAATAAAACTATAATTTGGGCTATTGTTAAGGGTGGATTAATAATTGTTGTCTTTTGTTCCAGGCCTAGATTCAACTGATGATTTCAAATGGATGGTGAGGGCGCAGGAGGTGCTTAAAAACCGCGGAAGTCCCACCGGTTCTGAAAAGCGGGCTTACGATCAAGCTGAAGAACTTGCGAGATTGCAAAGGGCTGTACAATCTAAGAAAATTTTGAAAGAAAAGCTGGATAGGATTTCGAGCGAGATAGCCGCCCTGACAGGCGTCTTGAAAGATCGAGGCGATTCATCGAGCGAAGCCTCCATCGAGGAAGATAAATAACATTAAAAAACTTCTTATTCAACAATTTTTCTTTTGTTTGTGAATGTGTAAAAAGGAGGAGACGAGAAGATACGAGAGGCAACGGGTAATGTTTTTAAGCTTTTAAAAGAGTTAAAAATCTGAGAAGATTCGATTTGCTCAAAGGACTCGCTAATTCGGACAAATTAACGAATTTTCTCAAGGCACAGGGAAACCGGCCAATTATAAAAACGAAGGACTTAAGCATAAAATGTTTTAAATGAACTTTTGTCTTCACATTTTCCGATAGAAAAAACGTCCCAAAGCTATTATTTGTACATAGGTATAACAAAAAGAGAGGAATCCACGTTTAAACTGCTGATTCTCCCCCGCTTCATGCCTCCCGTCTATACATTATTTATTTCACGCTATCAAATTTTTTTGAAAAATATGTGTTTAAATTTTGTGCAGCAGAGAAGATGTAGCGCGACGAACCTTCGCTGGAAAACCCTTCTCAACATCCTTCATTCTTCAAACTTCAGCTAGATCCCCTATCTTCTAACTTTTGGACATCCTTGATACCTTCATCTCCTCACAGATGGCACATCTCCATTATGAAATCTTTAAACTTACATTTCATCAGATCATAATCTTACTGATACTAGATACACTTCCATTCTCCAAAAGTTACCCTAATCAAATGCCCTGTTTCAGATTTGAAAAAAAAAATTGACATACCACTAAAAACTCCAAACGACATAACGATGTACGGTATGCACGAGTTGACGATACCAACTAGATGTACATAATAAACATGTTACACCACTGTACCATCATAAAACAAGAAAACTAAAAAAAAGGGGGAAACGGTGCGCAAGAGCCAAGTGGCAGCGCACTTTTCCATCAATGACTTGACCGACTAACTCACTAAGAAATAAACTACAGATCCCGAAACAACCACGATTTCAAGAGTACACACGCTCACTGACTACGAAGGACAATCCTCTTCGGACCGCAACGCATAGAATCCTGTAAATCTGTTCCTTCTCCTTTTCGCCGGAGTGATGACCCTTAGGCTGCGTCTAACGACGAAGAAATCTACTTATTTGCCTCCTATTTCTCCAGCGTTTTCACTTCTCATCCCGACTTCAATGAAAACCGTAAAACAAGACCAAAAATGTTGGTTAACATCTAAAGACCAAAAATTAACATCCCATATCACAAGACATCTACCCCTAAAGCAAGCTTCTGGTTTTGACCTGATTACATCAAAACGTTTCGGCCTACCTAAGTCAGATAAGATTAAAAAAAAGGCGGCCTATTTAGGACCTGCGCACCACGACGAGCATTAGTCTATTGCCTAGCTCCATTGTAGTCTAGAGCTTCTCATTAAGCTACCAAATCCCAAAACCTTTTCAAGGATTTCCGCGTGTATTTTTCAGGCGGGGCTTTCCTTTTCCCAGAAGTAGGAATCTCAGCCTACATGAGCTTTTGCACCAACAGAAGACATGTTCTGCTGTCTCTTCTTCTACCTGACACTATCAATATACGTACTCTTCCGGAGTCTGCAGTGCCTACGCAGCAGTCAAACTATTGTTCTAGTCCTTGATTTAGTTCTGGCGTTAGTTCTTTCATGCACTTTTTCCCATACCTGTCCTTGAGTTCATTCCCATTGAACGTAGAACTTATTAATCCATTTGGAAGTTTGGTATGTCACAGAAGGGTTCAGGGCCAATAGGTATTTTCATTGAACTTTACTTGGCCGATTTGTCACCGTATATGTTGCTATGAGAATGGCACATGAGAAAGTCCTAATGCAATCCAAACGGCTTTACCACCGATGTTGTTGTCAGTACCACCTGGCTGTCCAAGTATATAGCTATTCCTCTGTAAACAATATCTAGCCTTTTAACCTTCATGGCACAGTGTTCCATAGCCGATAGTCTCCGCTTGAAAGAAGGCTTATACTAATTCTAGTCCTTGTTTATTTCTATAAATACCGGCTAACCTGGTTTTCAGTTTTGGAGCCATCTGTATTCTAGATATGGTTGACATTAACTGGGATTCCTTTCTCCGGGTGAAAAACCCTACAGAGTATTTTAATTGGATTTTTCTAAAACTGAATTTTGGGATTGTGGCATGAACAGCATCCCCAGAAAACTGTCTTCCTAAAGCTCCTCTGAACCATTAATCGATACTTGTTATGTTGAGAAGGCTATCGGAGCCTAGCCTAGCCAGTGAATTGTGACTCTGGCCTTTCTTTCGATAAAATATGTCATGGTGGTAGGAAACCTACATAAAAAGCACAAAATAGTATCCAATTCCCACCAGCTACGATGCGCACAATATTAATCCTATTTTAATGTATTTAAATATCAAAAATGTAAATACTTATCGTTAATAGTTAGATAGAAATACTTTATTTTACAATTTTGTGCACATCGTGAAACAATATTTATAAAAGTATATACAACATGGAATTAAATCCGTCTGTCGTCGGAGATCGTTGTAAATTGAAAATGTAACAAACTTTGGGTATACATGCATTAGTTGTAGAACATAAAAATAATAGAAATAAATACACGGAAAAGTAATGAGATTTTCGCCCAGATCATTAAATTTTTTTTGTGATTATGGTATTTAATGAAGGGAAGGTATATACGAAAATAAAAATTAAATTCCTGGACTAAATGGTTTCTATAGTTCCAGACGTGGCGAACATACCGTAGGAGAGCCCTGGGATCAGAACCATTCAACAGCTCAAAGATTTATTTGGGCTCTTGAGAGAGTGAATGAGTGACCCGAGGTGTAATAGACGAATCTCTCCTAAAATCGAACACTCAGATAGGAAGTGAAGAACTAACTCAATTGACGGCGAGTTGCACAGGGAACAGATTTCATCCCTCCCACTTATCCAAAGAGCAATTTCCTCACAACGAAGTTTTAGAAGCCAAGACAACTCAGATTAAGAACGGCGAAATGTCGTTCTTTTAAATTAAATAAACTACGTGAATGAGATACAGCAAGAAATTTTCTGAGGATTAAGCATGGAGCATTTTTCTTTTCTTGGATACCAGAGTTCCCTCCTGAGCACTGCAGCTGAGCTGTACAGCGTATTGTACTTTATCCATGGCTCCATATTTTGGGGGAGAGCTCGCAACACAAATGTGAACTTGATCCCCCGTTGTACCGGTGTTCTTCCATCGAACAAACTCATTTTTAAAGGGGGTTGGGACCAAATTCAGGGTCGCTGAGATCCGATTCCGCCCCTTCCATTGATGAGTGCCGTGTCAATTTCTTTCAATTGCGGCCACCGGTCCCCTTAGGCGTCAGAAAAAGTCCAGAGGCGACGGTGGGGATCGAACCCACGACCGCGGGATCTACTAGCCGAGAGTCTGACGCCCTAACCATCCCTAAGCATGGCGCAAGCTTTCAGTTCTTTTATTGCCGATAGCAAAGCTGAAAACAGATTTGGCCATTTCTCAAGTTTATCGGGGGTTGGAGTGGTTAGGGAGAACTTATGGAATAGATATAGCTAATGTGCATACTAGCTTCGACCGTATGATTTCTAACGGTTATCTTTACAAGCCTGGAATCTGAAAGATGTAAGGTTTTAAGAATGAATGAAAAGTGAAGCTTGTGTATGTATCATGGGCCTGGCGATATTTCTAAATAAATCATGTAATTAGGGGGTAATGCAAATAATTTACGGACAAAATATCTTAGAACTTTTTCTATTGAATCAAATTGTTGATAGCTCCTATCATCGTTAATTGTAAAGAAATGATCGTTGATCATAAGAGCTGTTAGATGATGGCTCTGGTTAGGGAGGTTCTTCTCTTTATTTAATAAGAAAATGGAATTTATAGCATGTTGCTTTTAGTAGAGACAGAAAAAAACTGACAATTTCGGAAAGATAATCCATCCTCGTCACGTCAATAAAAACGAAGAATCTTCTTTGAGCAAACTTAAACAAGGCCGATGTGATTAGGTCGCGTGACTACTTACTGAAAAATTATAACTTCCATCAGTTTACAACACAAAATCCTACCGGTATTTGATTTATGGGGTACGAGCTGATTCTTGGCGGCTGTTTTCACGTCTTTCCACATCTCGAGCATGATGACAGCGCAAATCAGCGAATATTCGATCGTGCAAGGAAAAAGAAAAGGTGACGCGTTTTGTACCAAGGAGCTCATGATGTCTGTTTTCCTGCATTCCGACTCGTTTTTCAAACCTAGAAAAAAGACTTGAGCAATTTCTAGTAAATGTAATTTACCAGGTTGGTTACCGTGTTTGCCATGACCGGAGAGTTCCAGTTCATCCTTCGTTTCTTGTATTATCACCTTGAGCCACTCGCACAAATTGGTCGCGATCATGTGCATCAGGCCAAACCTGGAAACGATCGGTTTCTGGCAAAGATCCATGTTCTAAAAGAAAACAAAGATTTAATAAATTTATCATTTTTTCCCCCAATGAAGTTCAACATTACTCGGCTGTTTAAAAAAATAAACTGCATCTGAGCTATGGTCAAAATCATCTTGCATGCCGGCACCAGAGCCTGTGCTATATTCTTGCACTCCGGGTGATTTTTAACGTCTAAGATTTTACCAAATTCAAGGCCGGAGTAAACCATAGATCCAATTCCAAATGCTGTTTGTAGATCGTATTAGTTTTATTACTATTTCATTAATTTTAAACTAATAACTCACCAACAGCTCCAAGTCTTAAGTAATAGCTGCCGTATCTATTTATGGGCCCTCTGAATCTTCTCTTGACAGCGTTGTATGCAGCTTCGTCCCCTTCTAAAATTGAATCGTTTTCATCTACCAGGTTAAATCGATCTGAGTAACTTACTGTAGCTGTTTATTATATTGACGACAGTCCTGTCCTTTACCAAACTTGCATACATCCAGCATAAATAGATTAAGCTCAGGGAACATAGATAAATGTAAAACCCCTGAAAATGAGAATTGTTTTAATTACACGTAAATAATTGAGTGGAAATGTGTCAATACTTGATAGATTTTTGGAGAAATGCTATCGACTATGGCTTCGGCAAGCGGCAAAACGAATCCGAGCAAGACGAGAGTCTGGCAGTAAGTCGCGGATAAAAGTTTACTGAGGACATCGTCTGTAACTCTATCGTAATAAATAAATTTATGACAAGTATAAAAAGTCCTAATTTTATTACTGGTCTTCTTTCTTCGACTCTTTGTCTTCTGGTTGCTGGAGCAATTTTGAAAAAACTGCCGATGCACGACGAAACGCGTTGCGGTGGAGTTTCTGTGAATCCGATTGCGCTACAATGCTGAAAATTGATTGATGTTCATAATTAATATGGAAAATGTAATACCATTTTATCACTCACGATAAAGCACGGTATTCGTAGGAATGACAAAATTATTTGACACCCCGAGGTTAAAATTCGTTTAGAAAGCACACGCGAGAAGGGATAACTTGAGTTGTCAAGGAAAAGTGGGTGCGAGGTCTGATTTATAGCTGAAGGCAATTTCTCTCAACACATTCCTAACGTAATTGGAGATATAAACGCCTCCTTTAATATTAAGGGTCAGAAATATTTTTAAGATTTCCAAGCACCTTCCCCTTACTCGAACCCCTTTCAAAGGAGAGCAACTTGTAAATTGTTCGAATAAAAAAATCGTCGTTACTATCATATAAATTATATCATCTGAGAGTGGAATTCTGGTAATATCGCGGCATTAATGGAAAAGAAAATTGACAGCCATCAAAACCCGATCTACAATATTCTGGAAGAGCTTTGGTCATATGAAGAAAGTCTTGTTTCAACAAGACTGCGACAAAAACAGGGCAAAAAATAGATTAACAAGAAGATACGTGTCCGATATTTAGGATAGTAGAATCACCCAAAAAAGGTTTGGTCCAAATCCGTGACCCAAAAACCTGGTCGTCCCATTGTTAGTTTGGTCGTCATATTTTGAGAGCTGTCATTTTTGCCTTTCAGACGTTTGAGCCATCTCTCATGTGACCGTTGGCTCTCTTTATATGTTGAATTGGAGTATGTTGGAAGTTTATGTTCTTAAGCGTAAATATTCTAGCGTATAAACACTACAGCCATGGATGAAGTGCGGATATTCTTGGTCTCTCTCTTTTGGTGGGTTCCATTAAAAATAAAGTAACTTGTGGTCTTTTTTTAGGTATATCCATCCTTTTCTTTATTGGAATTAACGTACATTGTTTTTTTTTCATGTCAAATGAGTGTAGTTTTTTTTTGAAATTCATTATTGTATTGTTTGATTTGAGGAGTGTTGTGGAAGCCTGAGCTGGATTTGGCTGATAACTGGTCAGATTTGTTGTTATATTTGTGTATTTTTTTAAGTTGTGCGAGGTTACGTGGTTTTTGGTTCATGTTTGTGCCTTTATGGTGTATTATCATTGTTTTGTAGAACTAAGTTTACCTAATATTTGAATGATAAGCTCTTGGATCAGCAGAGTTTCTTTTCATAGGAGCATGGAAGCCGTCCATCCTTCGGTCTGAGACAAACCGCGAGTGGAGATGAAAAATACTCTGAACACTTCCAAACCTGTTAGCACTGGCTCTCTAACACGTTCTAAACAGTAAAGGCCAGTTTTGGATATTAATACACCAGAGAATAGCTTATCCGCGTCGTAAAATTCTGCCCGCTTTAAGTATAAATAATGAAGTATCGTTTATAAGTTTTGGGATTAAGGCCGGCTCATTATATGAGGTGGAAAGTGAATGAGATTTTGCCGGAGCGCCGAGGAGGATAGAGAGAAAAGAAGAGACCGGCTAAATTAAACCCTCCACCCGCCCTTCGCCGGCCCAGAAAATCCTTCTTGGATCATTTTTGAAGAAAAGAACAAACATTATGTTCGCTACATTAAGTTCAAATTTATCGTTGTGAGAAAAAACTAAATATGTGATAAAACAGTGGTTTCACGAGGTACAAAAGAACAATACTCACGGTTCGTTAGCATCAGTAATATTTAAAAACAAATTGATCTGATAACAACCGGACAAAATAGTAAAAAAATTCAGCTAAAAATGATACCTTTTTCAAACCGTCCGGGAAACATTGGCAAGTGAAATGGAATCGGAAATAATTTTTTTTCGCTCGGACAATTTGGTTCCTGCAAGTCTCGCCCGGTGTCATATATGCCTTTTTAAAGGACCAATAAGGTTGGTAGGCCAACTGAAATCGGATTATGAGCATGAAAAGAAGGATAATAAATCTGCGTTAATGATCCTTTGCTTTTAATATCACCCTGAAATCTATGTGGAAGGAAATTAATATGTTTCTCTCTTCTGTTTGCTTTCGATTCGTTTATTTGATGGTCAAATTAAGTTGGACCGTCCGGGTTCACTCGTTTTTCTCAGGGCTGAGTAATTCCATCTTCATCTGGAAAGAAAGTGGAAAAAATATCGATTTCTGCTTTAGTGGCTTTGTTTATAATTGTGTTTCATTGTACGTTTTTCTTTAAAGGAAATGAATCAGTGGTCCATACAGGTAGTCTGAAGGTGCAAAGTTGGTGGAGTACTGAATAATCTACATTAGTTCTCTTACATAACCATAAATTGCAATGTCAAACTATATTATACTGATGTAAGAATTATGATGAAAAATGGCTATCAAATGTGTGTTTTACGTACGAAGCAAAAAATGGAAAAGAAGCATAGAAACACCAAGTGAACAATGATCTACATAAAGAAAAAAAACTGACCAAAGAAGCAACCTTAAGTTCTGGTTTTAAAAGGCTTCGAAATCAGTTTTTACGTCTTGCAATGTACGAAACTATTTTTTTCAGAATGAGGCCATTATTCGAAAGCAGTAGTACTACCTAAGGTGCAAAAACAAGACACTTGGGTGGAAAAAAATTCGATCCGTAATATCATCTACAACACGAAATTGGCAACAAGTAAGAACACCTTGTGTAAAAAAACACTACTTAAATAAGTGTAAAAAAACTACTTATAACTACAAAGCAAACTTGAAAGAAAGTTAAAACAGTCAATTTTAAAAACGTTTGACGGACCACCAAGGTTCATCAATCCGAAAACTACACGGAGAAATATCACAATATGATTGTAGTTTAGTAGTTTCTTATCGTTTTTACCTGTGTATTTCGTTGATTTAATCTGTCAGACAAGTTTCTTCTTTTACTAATCTACAGTGTTGGGTATTTCACGATGAGCATGTATAAGAAGTAGACAAGAGACACAGACAAGTAAGACTATACTAAGCTACAAAGAATCGCCGATAAAGATGATGAGAAGCCGAACCCTTCTAACAGACTAAAGCAGCGAGGTAAGACGGACCATCATGATCGGAAACTAGTAGTTCATCAACCCAAAAACTACACGGAGAAATATCACAATATCATCGTAGTTTAGTAGTTTATTATCATTTTTACCTAGCTATCTTCGTTGTTTTAATTTGTCCGACAAGTTTATTCTTCTCCTAATCCATAGTGTTGGGTCTATCACGACGAACATTTATAACAAATAGACAAGAGACACAGACAAGTAAAACAAGTTTTTTTAAATTTATTTGTTACCTACCTGAATGAATTAACAGTATGGTTCACAAAGTGGAGAATAAAGGTAAACCTGACAAAAAGCACAGAGATCAATATTACCTTACGTAAAAATGTCTGTCCTGCGGTGAGTATAAATGGAATTCCATTGCCTACCACTGACCTTGTGCGTTATCTTGGACTTTTCATGGATAAACGACTGACTTGGAATCCCCATACAAGACTGAAAAGACAGCAAACAAACCGACGTTATAAATTGTTAAAAAAACTACTCGACTCACATCAAAATTAGACCTTGAAAATAAACTTGTAATTTACAAGACAATGATTAGACCTCTGGGCGTACGGTTGTGAAGTGTGGGGCTCAACCAAGGATTCCAATTCCCAGCGACTCCAATCAATCCAATCTAAAATTCTCCGTCAAATTATAAATGCTCCTTTTTACGTTTCAAATTACACTATCCAAGTAGATCCCGTTTGCACATGAACTCATCAAAACCCGATATAAAAAATTTCACCAATCACTGAACACACACAGTAATCTATTCGTACGAAATTTATCACTTCCAACCCTACCTGAAAATCCTCCAAGACGATTGAAGCGAAAGTGGCCCCGAGACCTTCTCATTGTGTGAAGAGTGAACAAGATATCAGTGTGAAGGAGTGTTACCACTGGGCAACTTCTCCTACAAGAGCATCAAAGGATAATTCAACATATACGAAAATATTTACTTAATACATCACTTGTAGTTGTAAATACCAAATAAATGTAATAAAAAAAATTGTTACCTATACACGATAGTATACTATAAACATGATTAATGTATCACAAGCACAACACTAGCACTAATGGCCCCAACACTGCACCGGTAGAACACATGCTTTGAGGAGCCAGCCATTGCTGGCACTTAGTGTGTATGATAAGGGATCAAGGGGGTCCCGAGGCCACCGTCGGTTGAGGCGATGTGGTGGATTGTCAGGATGGGACTGAGTGGAGCGGTGCTCAAGCTGTTTGGTTAGGATGGTTCGAAAGGTTAATGTGGAAGGTTTGGAATCTGGACCGGATTAATTCGTTGACAAAAGGAAAGTCGAGTTCTTTGTGGATAGTGAGGTTAATGACACAATAAGGTGCTTTGACAATTTGTCTAAGGACTTTCAGTTGGAAGGACTGGATGCGCTGTATTTTGGAAGACTTGGCAGTACCCCACACACTCCCTATGCCTGTATTGGTCTTAGTAAAGTTTTATACAATGTTAGCTTTTTCTTAATTGTCAATGTCGATTTCAGTAACACAAGTAAGACTATACTAAGCTACAAAGAACCACCGATAAAGAGGACGAGAAGCCGAACACTTCTGACAGACTAAAGCAGCGAGGTAAGGCGAACCATAATGATCGGAAACTACTAAGCTACAGGTTCATCTCCGCAGACCACATAGAGAAATCTAATATCATACCTTTCACATTATTTATTTTGATCATTGTCCCATTTTTTGTCAAGGGAAAAAGTTAAATTGGAGGGTGCATGAGTATTTCCATAGCTTACTCAGTTATTGATACTCAGTGTTGGTTCGAGCCTGGAGTCGAGTTTAATGACAGCACATCAAGATTGAATGTTTCTGGTAATTTACATTAATGTGGACAATAAACGGTCAACGGGTTTAAATAAGTTGTAGCGAAGAAGAAAAGTATGCGACGTCAGTACTATGAGGTAAAGCGGTAGCAGCTAGCATCAGATCAAAAGATCTTGCTTCGTATGACACTTATTCACCAAAGGCGGGGAAGCTACTCCAAAGCTAGTATGTTTGAGATTGGATCTGTCGTCAATCAGAGTTATCGCAATATCAAAAGAAATTCAAACCCAAACTTGAAAAATAGAGGCATTTTGGTTTCTAACATTTTATAACTTAAAACGCAACATGTAATAATGAAACAAAGAAACCCCGAAGATGATAAAATACCGAAACACATGCCAGTCCAAAACAGCGAGGGAAGGCGGGCCAAAATGGAGTGTTAGCACATATATTTGTTTGCTATTTTTGTCTCAACGATTCACATCTGCTGGCCTGTAATGTTTCCTATGCTGTTTACATTTGTCAAGAAATTGCTTCTTTAAAATTTCATCTTAGTTTATACCATTTGTGAGGAATATTTTTGTGTTATGGTATTACTATTATTGTACATTTTAATAAGTAAGAATTTAAACTAGATTGTTGTTTCTTTTCATTTAAAGGAGAAAATGTTTATAATGTCTTAATATCATTTATTTAATAGATTCATGATTATTATGTGAGTGTATCTGCTAGCATTATTGGTTGAATAAAATGACACGACCTCGCTTATTATCTAAAATCCGTCTCCTTGGCGGTAATTGCAATCACTGCGAGATCGTCACGTCACTAAGATCTTATATGACAAGGTGAAGCAGTTTAACAGATTTCCGTGCTTGAACCAAACTAAATCTTAAAAAAAAAAACTCAATATTTGAAACTATCCAAAGAATTTTCTTTTGTCTTGCATTAAACCGTTAAAATAAGGACGTTTCCGAACAGCTGGGTCGACAAAAGCATGAAAGCCCCTCATTTTTTTTTCGGAAAAATTATATTCACAGAGTTTAGTGTCAGGTGTGATGGTTCGGAGGGGGGTGCGTGCGAGTTAGGGATGAACTTTGTGCAACGATCAGTGAACACGGTTCACTCGTGCATGCTTCGATGACTGCCTCCGGACGTCACAGGCCTCCTCTCTTGCCAAGCCCTCCGCACCTTCAGATCCCCTTTGTCTTCCCATCCAAATCGGTATAATCCTCCAGATGCCTCGACAGATCCGGGCGAGTCGTCCTTTAAGAACACGGATGAAACGGTTTGATCTTCGATCTCGCGTGTGTACACAACGCGCTCACGGTTTATTTTATGTCAATTTATTTAAAACACAATTTTTTCCTAATCTATCCTAACTAAAACAGCACTATGATTTATGGACGTACCTTCCAAATAATT